ACTACAATTCTCTGTTATCATTCATAGACAAAGCAGTGGAAGAGGGTTTCATTATACCAACTGCTCGACATATCATTGTCTCCGCTCCTTCTGCTAAAGAACTTGTCAAGAAACTTGAGGTTAGTTTAAAAACAAAACAAAAAACTTGAGGATCCTTTGTTTTTTACATCTTCGCTATCAAATAAACTTAAAAAATATATCTTTGGTTTTTCTTTAAAAATTAGGAATATGTTCCAAGGCATGAGAAGGTAGCCTCAAAGAAGAGCTGGGAGATGGAACAAATAGGGCTGAGTCCTACTTGCGAAATTTCAAGGTGATTAAAAAGGACTCAATAATTTCTTTAAGGACTGCTCAGTTGAATGTTTTTCCAATTTGGGTACCTCTTTATTGATTGTAAACCTAGTCCCAGCAACAAGAAAACAAATTTACTTTCTTTTTTGTGTAGTTGATTCTGCTGTTTAATGTTTAATGTTTAATGTTGTAAGACACAGAGGGTTTAATCGGAAAACTATATTAGTTTGCATGTTGTAATTTTTATTTTTTTTTTCTTTTGAACCTCTATGTTGTAATTTGTTCCCACCAAGAACTCAATCTTTGGAATTTATTTTTGTTGGTGTTTTTTTTTGTCAGAGTTTATTTTGTTTAAGATTACGATATATTGAAATATTTATATGCCTTATTCTTTTGAAAAAAGATAATTAAGTCATTCGAAAAGTCTATAGAAAACATGAAATCAATAATCTATAAACAAAAAATTAATTGGCAAATTCACCCAATAACGGCGTAAAATAGGATTAGTTGTTGTTAAGGGAATAGGTGATTTGGTTGGTTTCCTAGAATCCTAAATGCATAAAAATATCAAATGGCAACTAAGAMACAAAAAAAAAAAGAACAAGAGATAGATGATATGAGTTGATTACTTAATGGGGAATTGATCATGTCATAGTAATTGAGTAAGGAGATCTAATGCTAACTGATGATTTAAGAGTCCTAATTAACTTTTTAGAACATGGATCACTAATACGAACAATCTCACTTTTATGGCACTAATTACTTAATTTAGCTATAACTTCATTTGCA